GTATTTTCCAAATATACTGAAATTATGACTGACTTAAAATTCACAAGCAATCGCTCACAACAGGTGATTAGCAAGCTATCATCATTTCATTCACAAAGCTTTTGTACCGTTGAAGCGGTGCACAGGATGTGTGGAATGGACAAAATAAAAGTTGCAGCTGTTAAACAGAAAATTGCTATGTACCATAAATCCATCCATTGCATAGAGTCTGAGCTACTGATGACATGTCATCATTTTTTTGAATGTTATAACAAATCAAATTGAATGGACTGGGTGGACTTGTGAAATAATATGAATAYCACTATCAGTCAATAAGTATAATGCAGTCCTTTTTTCTCTTTTACGCTATCGAAAACAACTAATCTCCTTTTACCATTTCTTCTATGGTATTGCTTTTCACTCTCTTTTCGATCACTGTGCTGAAAATTGAAATTCTTTATCGTTGTTGTRATTATTTCAGTTTTAAAGAATATCAGACACTCAAATTAAATCAGTAATCGTTATTATTTGCTCAATAAATAACTTAAAGCAGTCTTTAATTTTCACTCAAACTTCATTGATCGTCTCATTGATATTAGTTGTGATATGTCCTCTTATTTATCCAGTCGTTAAATTTTTTATTCATAAACTTCTATTTCGAGGATGAGATGGCGACAGTTGTGGTCAGTAAGGGGACATTCCACGAGAAAACAATATCATAAWTTTTTTTACCACAAAAAAAGGAACAAAAATTACAATTCGATGAAAAGAGAACAATCTTGTGACCGTGGAGTCTTTTATTTGCCACGACTCTCGACCAATCAGAAATCGAAAATTTCTTTTTATTCAAAATCATCATCATCAAAATCTTACTTGGTCAAATCTATAATAATTGTGATATCTGCCAGAATATGAACATCAAAGTTTGATTTACAGGAAGATCGGCCCAATATTGCTTACAAAAGGGATTAAAGATCTACCGTTTCATTTCTCAAGGCTTTGTTCCTTTCTCGTCAAAAAGATTCACGATTCCTTTCAATTTCAAAACTTTGACGTCAATGATGCTTCTTTCTTGTTTTCAAATTCCGTTCCCATCACCTATGTGAGCAAAAGACCAACATTAATTAGTCTCCAAGGAGCAATTCTTATTATGTGTGCAATAAACGTCATACGAATTTATCGAAAACATCTTCTTWTAGTCTTGCCAATGTCCCAGTGAAACAAAAACAACACCCAAAAAGACTTAAACTTACACAGTCATGTTGACCAATTCTACCAATATCTATAGTTCTACTTGCCTGTTATCAACAAAATTTGACGATCAATACAATTTTACAGGCAACTTACCAGATTCTGTTCAACCCACTCGAATATTCCTCGCCGTTGTCAATAGTATCGCCTCTCCACCGACATTTATGCTTAACTTGCTGATTATCTGGACGATTTTGGAAAAAGAAAGTATTCGAACCAAAACCTATTACCTTCTGCTCGCTGCTCTGGCCTTCACCGATCTCCAAGTTGGTCTGATTGTAGAACCTCTGTTTATTTGGGGTACGATATGCCGTCTAGGGTATTGCCAGGTACAGTGTCTATACAGTATTATTAATATTCCTGTGACCATATGTGCGTGTCTGACGATTAGTACTTTGTTGATGGCCAGCGCTGAGAGGTATATTGCAATAGAGCACTCTGAATTTTACAGAACCAAACTGACTTACAAACATGTCATCATTGGAATACCTGTCGTTTGGTTATTTTTACCGAGCGCTTTGGTAGTCAGCAGAATCCTAGCGACAGAATCGTCGAAGAATGTTCCAACTCTCACTATCACCATCATTGCCATCCTTGCCATAGTGTACTTCACAGCTAAAGTACAGATCACAGCCATCCGGCAGAGAAGAGAAATCAATGCAATAGTACCTGGAATACTAGTTACAGTGGAAGACCAAGAACAAACATCTACAGTACAACGTACAGTACAGCAAGAAGACCAAGAACAAGCATCTACAGTACAACGTACAGTACAGCAAGAAGACCGAGAACAAGCATCTACAGTACACCGTACAGTACAGCAAGAAGACCAAGAACAAGCATCTACAGTACAACGTACAGTACAGCAAGAAGACCGAGAACAAGCATCTACAGTACATCGTACAGTACAGCAAGAAGACTAAGAACAAGCATCTACAGTACACCGAACAGCACAGCAAGTAGACCAAGAACAAGCATCTACAGCACAACCTACAGTACAACAAGAAGAACAAGAACAACCATCTACAGTACAACGTACAGTACAGCAAGAAGACCGAGAACAAGCAGCGGYAATGTCACTTWCAATACAAAAAGCCAAAGAAGATCATCAGAAGCATAGTGACAAACGAAAGAAGAAACTCAAAGAACTTAAGGATGCATTTACTATAGCCCTGTTTGTTCTCTGCCTCGTTATCGCCTACATTCCCCTGATTATTGTAATCCTCATCGAAAWCTTTCAAGGCAAGGATGTCACTCCTGACTTTAAATACATTTCTCGACCAATTGCTGCACTGTTTATTAATTTACAGACTCTCGTCAACCCGATCCTAATGTCTCTCCGTATGTCCACTATCCGTAAAGGGGTGAAGAACAAGTTTTTTCGCATATTTGGCTTGGAGCAAGTGCAAGATTTCCATATTTAGACATTATTCCACACATTTCCTCGATCAGAATTGGAACTTTTAACATGTGTTACTCAATTCAAGGTAAAAATTTAAATTATCATTATTATAAATAATAATAGTAGTTTGTCTATCTTCCTTTATACAACTTTTCAGTAAAATCAGACGTTTTGATTGGTTGGCTTTCGTGTGTTATCAAAGTATAGATACACGGATTACGTCAAAACTAATTGTTTGTTGTATAAAACAGATAGATCTCATTTTTCCGTGCGTATGTACTCTAATAGATACACAGATGACGTCAAAATGTAGTGAGAACAACAGTCACGCACTCGACTGCGTCTCGTGCGTACTTTTTTGTTTTCACTACATTTTGACGTCATCTGTGTATCTATTAGAGTACACACGTACGGAAAAATGAGATCTATTTGTTAAATTCAGACTTTTTGCAATTTGATGACTAGGTGGTGAGAAATTATATTTGGGCCCCCTCTATCTTCGTTGAACATGAAATTTTTGTACACATGATCGCCAACGTAAAACGAACTAGACGCTCTTTGAGCGTGAAGTCGGGCTAGCTATTTTGGAAAATTGAGAAATTACTTGGATTTTCGAATACGTGAAGAGCGAAAGAGTTCAACACGATAAGATAAAATTCGTATCTAAAAAACATGTAATATTCTGACAGTCATATAATTATATAAAAAAGTAAATTACGGCGTAGAATACCTTATCTAGTTTGTTTATTCACGCACCGCGATATTCTTTTCTGGTGGCTTGGCGCAACGACATCAAAACACTAGGAATATCGATCCAGGAGTGATATTCTGTCTTTCTCAATTTTCAAAAATAGCTATCCCAACTTCACGCTGAAAAAGCGTGTAGCTCATTCAAAATATGCAAATTTCGTGTGTTTTAAAAAGGTCATATAAACAACAATTTATAATTTAACAATGAATCCTATTAACCTATACTTATCCCGTTTTTTGTACATAGACCAGCTTATACTATTTAGGGGAATCTCCAAAGGCAACTCTTTCAAATAAATTCAAAATACATGCTTTAAATGCTCTTAAAACTCATATCCTATCATTACTAATGCAACCTTAGACGACGTGGCGCAATGCATTTGATTATCAGATATCTTGGTGTAAAGTTTCACGTTATTAATTAAAAAATGACCTCTCCGGTCAAGAAGCGTATTTTACAAAACAAGACTGCGATGAATAACACAGTAAATGGGGAAATATAATTGACAAAACTATTTATCGATACGTAATATATAGCTATTAGAACAAATAAACTTATCATTGTGAGTCTAGAGCTGATTGTAGAGGTCTGATCCTTCGTCTTGTCGAAGAATTCTTTGGGTTCGCGGAACGACTCGTTTCGAAACTGACGCTTCTTGACATCTTTTAGTGTGAGTCTACCGCGAACGGTGTGTGCGTTTGTAAGATGGTTGAGCTTCCGTTGAGCGTCTCAGCATGTACTTTTTTGACATCTTACATGTAATTGCAATAACTCTCCAAGGAAGAAGGAAAAAACGTCGAGCAAGCGTACTATAGCACAAGCACAGCACCATAAGACAAGTAAAGTAAAGCATTATGGATAATAKGATTGACYAWGTGAYCTTGGTATTCCTGTGCTATCCAACCAGGAAATTATGGGTAATTTTAGCTGCCAGGTTACTTTGTAGGTATGCACGTGATTGGCTGATTATTATGGTATATTTGACAGGGCTACCTAATATGCCCTGGTAGCTGCAAAAATGTGTGATTGGATGGGAGATTTAGTACTCTGAGCATGCGCTTATGTATTATTCAGTTACATAAAGCACACGTCGTCCCACACGGTTCTTAACAAGCAAATTTATTAGTATATAAGTCAAGCAAAAAGTAGTAGTTTACGATGATATGCCGCAGACTCGGAGGTAGACTCATATGACGTATGTTAAATTAATAAATATCATGACGTCATGTGTGACGCAATGACACAGGGATCCCAGTTGTAGTTGTCTGATTTCCGGTTAGAAAGAATATCACATGACAGGAAGGTTGCGGATTGAACTTCCGGTGTTCCAAACGCGACATGATACACAGATAGATTGGCAAAAAAGTAAAACTAAAGTCGGCCTAGCCTATGGCTAGCCCGACTAACAAGTTTTGACCCGTGGAAACTAAATACTGCATCAAAATGACGTCATTTACATCATTTGCATTTTTATAAACTACCTACAATGCCATAGAGAATGCTGCGTTATGATCTATGGAAATAACTTGGAAACAATATACTYCTTAGCTTTTTATTTGACCGCGTTCTGTACGTCACGACGACGTCATAGGTATAAGATAATTTTGAATCATCATATCATCATCGCCGTTATCATCAATTTTATTATATATCATATATGTAAATATTATGTATTCTTCTTTAATTTTTTATCACTGGATTCATCGTTACAATTGCTTTACATTGCCACAAATGTTTTATAGATTTTTTTGATGACCATAAAACAAAACATAATCTTGCCATAAAGAACGTTACACTGAAACAAAACAAAAAACAAACAAAAAAAAAACGATAAATCATACATTATTCAATTGTAATTAAAACTATAAATATGCTTGAGTATAAATTATGAAATAATAACTATATATACGCTCACATTGACTAGTTGGAATGTGGGAAAATACCGTGTTTTTTTAAGAGCATAGAAACCCTGCTTTCAAGAGAAGAGTTGTTATTTCATAAAATAATTAGAATATATTTTCTGTGTTTCTATTTAAATAATAGAGTAGTTGAATCGAGGGCATTATGCTTTGATAATTGCCACGGAAACTAGATGCTTCCAACAACAAATAGCATCACSTTGTCGACTCGCCACCAATGAGAGCGGATGAAAATTTGATATTGAATWATAATCTCTGTCAGAAACAATTGGGATTTTGGGGAGAACACTCGATTTCACCTCGTATTCTTCCAACAAACCCGCGCGTTTTTAACAGAGAAAGAAACAAGGAARATAGGAAAATATCTTCTAATGCTTAAAAATTTTCACTAAAACCGTGAAAATGTACTAACCAAATATAGAATAAAGTTACAAAACCCGTGAAATAGATAGTTTTCTTTTGTGAATTTTTATTTCACGTGTATTTTCGATATACGTCTGATGACAATTGTATTTCTTGTAACTTTATTAAACTCAACTCCTTGCTCGCAAGTAACACACTTACAATTTCTTCTTGACTGCTTTCATTGTTCACTTGATTACAATGATAAGTCAACTCCTTTTTATTAATTTTCTATTTTTAACAACGTGTTTATTGACTTGACTCTCTATGTTTTGTAGATTAGAAAATGAAAACAAAGTAATTCAGTACAATTTAAAACTATTTAATCACTTAAGTTTTTCAAGGACTTCGTGATTGCAGCACTCAAAAAGGGTAAAATCAGATGTCAGTAAACAYTGCCCCATTTCGCTTATTCTATTGTTTTCTATTGTAAAGTTAGCACTATTTTGTTGTAAATAGTTATAAGTTATTGCATTGATTTAGAGTGATCGCACATAATCCGTGCAACTGTACAAACTAAATAGTTCTATTTAGTTGTATTTAGTAAATCGTGCATGCGGTACGCAAATTAAATTGAATTGATACAAATGAAGCATTCTATACCGTCTTGCTTCAAGTCCACTTTTAGTACAAATTAGTACTACTTAGATTTTGTACAGTTGCACGGATTAAGTGCGTGCACTCTAGTTTAGACTTTGTGTATAGCACTATTTTGTAGTAAATAGTGGCGAAAGTGTTGCACGCTTTAAGTGTTTGTACTCTACTACAACAGGGGCGTGCGCGGGGTCGTCTCAAGGAATAACCCTCTCCTCCCCTCCCCTCCTTGAGAGAGGCAAATCACTGCACACGCCCCTGTAGTGATAGCAACGTTATGAAGTGATAAAAATCTTATATCATGGTATCTTAGCAACTAGAGTCTCGACACTTGTAAAAGCAAACGAATTAGCATTGCAATCAACAAATAAAAGGTCAACAAMTCGGGACAAAAATGTAGAAAATAGGAAGATTGAAGTGTTTAAAAATAATGGTTACCAAAGCTGCGGCGCCGCATTGTTAATTGTTCAATATCACCTACCATTGCATCCATAAAGTTCAACTCTCATACATATCTCCTGTGTCCATTTTAAAGGCTCGATCATGATGTAGCGCGCCGTGATTGGATAGTTCATAGAATTRTAATGAGATGAACTCCCATCCCAGTTTCCAGGAAAAGTCTAAAGATGAATAAATCAGTGCTCAAAATTAATCTTTCAAAAAAAAAAAAAATGAAACATTTGATGCTGACGATTCGACATTTATACATTTATCACAGTGACAAAGCATCGTCGTGTTCAAAGGAATGACATCGACGAAGCTAAGACCGAATGGCGTTTTGTGCACTCGGAATCTGAATCACATTTGCCACATTTTCCCGACAATTTAAGAAAATAGGGAAGGAAGGTTAATCTGAAGAGATCAAAGATATGAAAAATTCGAAAAGTCAAAGACACGGAGACCGTTGCTATAATGTATCAATGACCAATGTTTAGACTTTATTTTGACAGTGATTCATCGTAAGAGTGTGAACAGAGTTAGTAGAGGAGACTGTCTCCTCTACTAACTCTGGTGTGAATGAATAATAACTTAACATAGACATATTGAAAACACTTTTTCTATAAGATTCGTAGTCAATTTTTGGTCACTGAAACACTGATATTCGCCACTAACTTATACTAAAACTCTTCTCAAACTCCCTCTCGGTCTATAGCATCTTGGATCCTCGACGACATTTTTTCTGCAATAGACAATAGACTGAAGCTTTTACGTCAACTACCACATTATGGGATCAGTTTCTGGAGAAAACAAAATAAATCCGCCATGTTTTATCCTAATCATATTCTAGATCCTAAAAATCTATATTTACGATGCATTGTGTAAAACGGTATATGACGTAAAAGCTCCAGAAGTCTATTAGATATTAGGTCAGTTTAATCATACCTGGTAGACTTGGTACCAGGAATGGTATCGATATATGCTGTAACGTACAGTATACGATTCGACCCAGGCGTCCGCAGTAAATATTCCAATTTTCCCTTGTGTTGCAATTCCTGTGACTTGTTTGAGTTTCCCCAAGTCAATCTGTTGATGAAATTACAACATTGAAACAATGCTCAAAATAACAACACGAAGCATGAGCTTTTTTGGCTTCTTGTTTTCCGAGGGTTGAATTAATATAACTTAATAGGGTGGATGGGGGGGGGGGGGGGGGGGGGGGGGGGGGGTGTAACACAGATCAAATACATCAAATACATAAGAAGCATGAAAGAACTGATAACATCCAAATTGGAGGAACAGAGGAGAGGTATAAGCTAAAATATTAAAATTGTTCATACACGTCATTCTACAACGGCGACTCAACAATAACTCAAATCAAGGGCGTTACTGCGCTTGTTATCCATGACAAAAACATTCTTACACAGTCTGATTTGTTTCTCCCAAGAACTCACCAGGAGATATTGTCCAATCGATGAACGCGAAGCACACCAGGCCCCTGCTCCTTGCGTGTTAGCCGTGAGGTGAAGGCGAGCTTGGTGCGGTTGGTAAGAAACTTTATAAGAGCTCGCTGTTATCCAGCTATTCTGAATCGTTTTATCTTCCATTCCCAGCGCAAAGTAGCACCCTATAAATGAACAATTGAACTGATTTTAGTTGACAACAAAAATATTTATTTTTCTACTGAAATAATGAATTGATGATGTCATATTTGTTTTGGCGAATTGCATCATGGGTTCAACATCGAAACGACATTACATTTCATCAGTGCTTCTCAAAATCCAGACCTCAATTCAATTCAATCTATGAGTAAGATGAAATCAAAGATTTCTTCATGAAGGCTTTGCACTTGTGAAAATGTTAGGACAGAAAACCCAATCAATGATAATCACTACACAGGAGGCCCAAATAGATAAAAAAAGTTGTCCGTATTTCAGTGTATATTTAAAATCTTTCAACAATTATGCTGCTTTACTAATTATTTGATCATCCATATCGCAACCCGCGGAAAGCCTTGTGACGCAGTGCATTTTGGGATTGATAAATGAGCAAACAAGTGAACAACGATGTCAGTGCTCCACTTGTCTGTAACGTAGACTTAGTTTTCGAAAAACATTGGGAAATATTGATATTGTAGTTAATCTCAGAAGCGAAAAAAACAAACAAATATCAACATGCAAGGAAATATAGCAAGAAAAACCTCCAAAAAATGTACAGTTCATCAAGAATTTCCATTTACTAGGCAAATCAAGCAAAAATGAAAACAAACATATTTTGTCTGTGGAAAAATCGAAACTAATTAGTGTTTTTAAGATTTTGGCGATTTGTTTTGATGAAGAAAGGGAGATTTATATCCCATGATACATTGCAAAACCATTCAAAATGGCGGGCTTGTGATATGGACTATAATCATGGTTAAAATATGTAAAGAGCACTTTACAGTGTGATAGCACTATCTGCTGTCATCTCGGACAGCGTGCAGTACACTCGGTTTTGCAAAATACAATTACGTGAAAGTTTACTGTGTATATATTAAATATGTGATAGCAGATGCTTGCCTTAAGCTTTACATCAGTCCATTAATATATTCCTCATTTCATGCCAGTCCCCAAATTCTTGAAGTTCATTTTTTTAAAAATCAAAAAAAATTGTCCTATTTCTATTGTTTTCTTTGGTAAAACTAACACGTATAGTTTACTCTATTAAAGTACCTGAAAAGTTAGTTGTGTAATCTTTATAAGTAAAATAAACACATGCGTTTTGTGCGTAAGAACCTGCAGTCGAGGGTGGTCGCTTACAGGAGAGGAAAAACAATGAAATATTCTACAATTTCAACCCCAAAGGTGGTCGCGGTCGCCTACAAACGTGGTCGCCTACGAGAGAATTTTTTTACAGAGTTTATATAGGAAGCAAAACGGGAAATTTAAAAGGTGGTCGCTTACGGGAGATGGTCGATTACGAGAGTGGTCGATCAAAGAGAGTCAACTGTATATTTTAAAAGGGTTATTAACCGAGCGCGAGGTCTGTACGGCCGGAAAATATCAGACCGAGTTCTTGACAATACGGACCACGAAAGTGTTATTTTCACTAGTGAAATTTTTCGAAAGAAAGAAATATAGGTATTTGATAGATAATTATTTGATAAATCGTATTCTTAGATACCTTTATAACCAGTACATCTATACAGTGTGTTAATCTCTTGAATGTCTATTGGTGTTAAGCCATTCAGTTGTCCAAGAGGGACCAATGGGCCGGCGCGTGACTCGATGGTATTTCTATTATTTTTACTAAAACTTGTCCTTGGTAAGTGGAGTATTGATTTGAAGTCATACGGTGCTCCCTGACGACTCACTTCACTACTTTTGTATTTGTTGAAATCGATTATATGATCTTTGAAGAAAAAAACTTACATCAGTCAAAGTTTGGTGGAGCAGCAGATCAAAGATTTGAGAGAAAAACTGTATATCAATGAATTATTGGCAGTAGTGCAGGCTTTTTATACACGAGAATCTAAACTGTTCAGAGGTCTTTTCGTTACAATATCTGCAAGTTTCAAGCGATAATCGAAAAAATTTCGAAATTTCGAAATCGAGAAAAATTGCTAAAAACAAGTCCATACGTACTTCCAAATAAGGTATTACCATATATGGCTGCTAAACAAATGACAACATTTTGAAGGAAATAGTTTGATATGGATAGAATTTACATGATTTTTACACGGAAAATTACATTTGCAGATTGCATGTACCTTTTAAGATATTACTGTAATAAACATTCACATAGGAGTCTCTGTCAGGACGAGAGTTTGTATGAAAGAAGCCAAGCGAATGCATTATTTCATGGAGTACTATACCAATATACCCACAGCCTGGGCCTATAGAGACCGACTGTCCCTGGATAGAGGACTTGCCAACGTACGAATAACACCTGAAAGAAATGATCACACATCGATATTATATTTATCTGATTATATCATGACATCTATTTTTAACACAATTGTAAATTTTCTCGATTTCTGATTGGTCGAGAGCCTTGGTAAACAAAAAAGTACCTACCACAATCGCAAGATTGTTCTTTTTTTGGGATTGTTATCTAATTATATGATAGTTTTTTGTTGTAAAAAATACGTTTCTTGTGATATGCATGTTCTCTTATGTTGGCACTATGTCCTTACCCTCTTCCACGGATAAAATTCAAGTAATAATTCTCACTAGTCCTGAGCTTGAATCTTACGCACGAATCCCTTGCAATCAAAGCCATAGCGTTGTTTATCAGCTGTCGTTCATATGGATAATCATCTGTAAAGACGGCACATTGAACAGCGTATTTCAAATAAAAACATGCGTATTATGTAAATTATTAAGGGCCTGATGACGGAGTTTTTGCAAGTGAAGACGTAAGAATGAAAAGCCATGGACAACCGTTCCGAGGTGTATATTGGGCCGCGTCAGTCCGTAATCTAATACAATATGAAGGGTAAGGCTAGTAGTTTACTAAATCACTTCCGTGCCTATCCCACATGGCTTGGACCTCAATCTACATCCCATATCCCATATCAGTATGACAGATACCTTGTATAGAGATTTGATCATTCGTTTTAAAGAAAATAAAGGACTCTTATTCCTGTACTGAATCTTTGCATTATTAAAAAAAAGACCGTCTGATATAAATTGTTGTCTGAATTGCATGATGAATTCATTATTAGTGGATGCGTACGTAATTGAGCTATAACAAACACTTAGAAAAATGTCCGTCTAGCCTATTAATGACTTCATGTATGATATTTTTGCGAAGTGCATCATGTTATTGATAAAAGTAACAAAATGGCGGATGTCTAAAAAAACTACGGAGAACATTAGCAATGGTCCTTTTCCAGGCAGCCTGCGTAGCGGCTCTAGGGGAAGGGGAAGGAGGAAAACAGAAGGGATGGGAGAGGGGGAGGGGGAGTTCGGAAAAAGGAGAGCTTGTCCCCTTTTACCGCCCCCCCTCCACTCCCACTAGGCCCGCTACGCAGGCTATTTCCCAGGTGACATCGCGCGATGTTCAGCGGGACGCACAATGGGACGGAAAAAAAGTACAAACTGAGCCATGTTGTTGTGATAGTGCTTCTTCTCGAATTTTTTTGCGAACAACAAGCACTACTTTTCCAGGCAGGTCTTTGAATATACTCTGTTGTGACAGCTATCTCAAGTTCTTCGAATTATTCTCGACAACAGAGCTAATTTCTAATTTCTAACTTCTTCCTACGAAGTTTATGTGAGACATCCCTCGATGCTATTATCAATACCACGATGCTCTTCGACAACACAAATATGACGTCATGAGAAGAAAAGACATGACTGTTTTCTCATTTTTGGAATAGCGATATACATACTAAGAGATGAGTGAAAGGCGTAAGGCACAATGCCGTTGTTCCATGTAAGCGACCGATTGATGACCGACACTCGGGCTTTCTTCAACTTTCCCGTGTATTCGTCCAACTTGATGTCTCCTTCAAATTCCTTACCTAAAAAGAAGATTATCACCAGCAAGTATTGTGTCAGTATTGACTGATGGTTTCCAAAATGGCCGTAATTCATTAGCTTATTTTTTAACAAACTGATGAGATAAAATGATCCCCTTAAAAAAAAAGATAGATTAATGTCTTTAGAGATTTTCAATGGAACTTACTTTACTATATGGACACTTTAAGTGGAAAAAATATGGCGGCCATTTTGTGAAAAGTTTTATTGGTTTGAGGTGTTCATAAAATCAAAGAACAAAACAAAACAAAACAAAACAAACAAAACAAAATGCAAAAAATTAAAATAAAAACAAATTAAATTAAAATCATAAAACAAAAAATGAAACAAGAACAGAAAAAAATCAATCCCTACGAAAATAATAACGAATCAAAATAATCTTTTATCATGCACCAGGGGCCGTTTGAACGTAAGTTATCGATCTTTTATGGATTTTTCCGCAAGATAGGGATTTATTCTATAGATAGCGTTCAGTATTTACCGGACCCAGGTCAGTAAATGAACCATGAATAGTGTAAACAAGTTCATATACCTTTGTTTATAAAGTCATAACCTGGTTTCTTACATTCCACCAATAATATTCCATACATCAATATTTGTATCAGAACGAGRCTTGCATTAATGGACTTCATCCTTCTGGAATATACTGATTGATACAAAAAAATGAATATTTCAAGATAAAGCTATCGTTGTATTATAAGCAATGGGAATKGTGGGAGGTACAGCAATTTTTTGGATTTTTCTCTATTTTGACTGCCCTTATTTAGTAGGTGAACGACACAAAAMSTTTTTGCGATTGAACGAATACTATTTGAGATACAGCGCTTCAAAGTTCGCCTTTCGAGGTCTGTTATTAGAATGTGGCTGTGCCGTCACACCAACAATCCACAGTCTAGCATTTGAAGAAGAGCAACTGAGACCAAGTCAATCTTTTGACTGTAGAATCAAAACAAAATCCCGACCTTCCTTCCAKTACCCTTCCAACATCCGACTCACTATTCCATTGGCTTGAAGGGCTAACGTAAACCCAATAAAGTTATCTCTATGAGAAAATAGTGCCCTTTTTTTAAATTCCCCCCCCTCCCCCTCCCGATATTGAATCTCTTTATATTTCTAGTAAATCGATCATTGAACTTACACCTAATGCCTCATTGCATGCAAAAACGTTGTCCAAGAAAAAGAGATCCTAGGAATTGAATTCAAAAGAAAGCGTTCGAGCTTACTGGTCATCTTTCGTGGACAATTTGGGGCGTTTGCAGGTGTTTAGTGGGGCGTTCCAGCTTTGTATTGTGGCTTCAGGACTGTGAAAAAAGCGATTCACTGCAAAATTACACGAGTATTGTTTTGGATTCATGCAGAACAAACTGTTGGACAATCTGAAAATGTGTTACCTTATCGATTTAACAAATGTAGTCTCATATCTAAAATTCCTGYCAAGGAAGGGGAGGTTCCTGGAACCTCTGGAACCATCCTCTCCACACGCCCCCAAAAATCCTTTGTCATATATTGTTTGATAAGTGCACATTTTTACAAAATGATTCATGGATAAAGTTATTGTACTCTACAAAAAACACTTAATATAAGGAAAACCTTTTTGCAACCAAATTCTTTGATCTCATCCGCTCACGCATGTAAGTATTTGCRTTGATAACATATGACGCAATGATTAATTTTCGTAAAAAAGTCGAAAAAAGACGATCACCGCATTTGAATTTCCTATATTTTGYACGATATGGAAAGTGTATCGTTACTTATCTCATCCCAGTACTGGTGCAGTAAAATATTACGATAAAAACAACCTTCAGTCGAAAAGAGCTCTTATTCATCTCATCAATGATAACCCATCTGATAATTTGTATCTTTACAATTAATCTCAACAACCCAAACATTTACATTTTTAAGAAGGTACAGCTTACCGTTTTTTTATAGCAGTGGTTTCTTATCCAGCCAACCGTTTTTACCGACTCGACTGAGAATGTATTTCGTCAATTATAGCTTTCAGCCTGTATCGCGTAATAATCCAATTCACTTTTAACCAAATCTTACATWAACATGCCTGTTTTGATGGGCTGTTTTGGAGCTGAGTACATTACAGTTGACAGACAGCCATTTAACAAAGAACACACTCGCCCAGTGTTAGTCTAGATCGGGGTTTCAGCGAGTCAGCTGTGCTAATATGTCCATGTACTTGAACACCTTGCACACTTTCTGCTTTTTTAAGTTGTATTGAGTGTGTTGTAGTTTTTGTATTGTAATCATTGTTGATCTTTCCTTATGAATTACTTGACGCCTCTGGTAAAGTTTCAGCGCCAGTGTCTAGAAATAAAAGAAGGCTACTTAATGAAATATTCTGCCTTTGTATTAAGCTATTTCAGTAAACACTGAGTATACAGAAGATAGTATATCCCAATATTGAAATGCACTGTTTGTCGTTGCATTGGCAATCTAAAAGGGGATTTTAGTATTTCAAAGTGATCGTGCCAGCTCTGTATCTTCTATGGAAAGCAGTTTAGTTTGTATCATTTGGTAATGCCACCTAGAAACAATGCATTTCGGTCTTGGAATACGTCTATGTAGTAACACTTCAGCACTTTTTAAAAACAGCTGTAACAAACTGTATTGTTGATTTGTCGTGATGATGGAAACTAGAGGCACACTATAATAGTATATATGAGCTGCGTCGGTGTTTCTAAAAAAAAGGTTAAAATAAATTTTAAACCGTAAAAAAATATGGGAAGTAAAGGCAAACGAAGGAATGTTTTTCCCATACTTTTTACGGTGTAAAATTTACCTTATTTCATTGTTGTGAGGATGACTGGATTAGTGATGCATGAATGGAGGATCGCTGATTGGTTGTAATGAATATATATGATAGATTAATAACTTTACATGGGATGAATGCTATACACCTATTTCAAAAAACGTTGTCGGGGAGAACGGCGAACGACGATTGTCGAAGGGAGACTGCACGACCGAAAGGAACTATGGTTACACTGTTTTGTGGAAGTTAATAAGCATCTTTTTCGGCGTACCTCGGTAAACATTGAGATTCTCGGGAAACAAAACTAACCGTTTCCCTTGGGAACAGTCATTAAGTGTATAATGAAAAACCATGTTAATGGAAAAGTATGGTTTCCGTCGCATGAGCAGACAACCATTGCAATGTAATAAACCTTCCTTCGCATAACTATAACTTTATTTCTATAACAAAACGCCCAACCAAGTCCAGTCCATTCACCATGTCCAAGTGTGTCATTGGTAAAGTAAAGCTTTATTGTATGACCATGCAACCATAGCAATGTAACCAATCACCCAACCAAGTCCAGTCCATTCAACATGTCCAAGTGTGTCATTGGTAAAGTATGGCTTTATTGTATTACCAGGCAACCATAGCAATGTAACCAATCACCCAACCAAGTCCAGTCCATTCACCATGACCAAGTGTGTTACTGGTAAAGTATGGCTTTATTGTATTACCAGGCAACCATAGCAATGTAACCAATCACCCAACCAAGTCCAGTCCATTCACCATGACCAAGTGTGTTACTGGTAAAGTATGGCTTTATTGTATTACCAGGCAACCATAGCAATGTAACCAATCAC